TAAAAAGTATAAAAAAAATTGATACCCATTTAATATGCATCTAACACATATATATTTAAGTTTTAATGTATACATTACTAATATATATATATATATATTTAAATTTAATATATATATTTTAATATATGCAATTAATATAAACGTATACATAACTATATTAGCTTTTAATATCAAATCCAATACGATGAACTATTAAATATTAAAAATAAAATAATGATGAATCGTACTAATATTACTATTTATATTATATTTATATTATTAATATAAAAAATAATTTTATAATAATTATTAAATGAGTATCATAATTAAATGTTTAAAATAATCTTTATATATTAAATAACTAATTAAGTACCATAATTATAAGATTAAAAATTAAAATAATTTTTATATGTTTATATTAAATTAAAATAAATATAAAAATATTTGAAATGTGTTTTCGTATCGTGTCATGTGATAAGCTTGTATCCGTGCGACACTTTTTTTTAAACGTGTTTTTTGTATCTTACACGTATTTAGATGTATTAAAACGTATAAGACATGAATTGAGTCATGTTGAAATTTGTGTCAACACGAATAAATACAAAACACATATACAATTTTTTTCCTGTTGTTTTCGTATCGTATTATTATGTTGTGTTCGAAATTATTAGGTTTATTTGAAGTTTATAATCAATCTTGAAAGTTGAAGCCCGTTAGGTGGTTAGATATGAAAGTAATAAATTTTAGTAATTTTTAATTTAAAATAAATAAATAAAAATATAAACAAATTATGAATATATAATATCATATATTATAAATATAAGATGAAAAGTTTATTTCAAATTTTTTTTTATATTTTTTATACATAATATTAATATATATATATATACTAGATTTATTTCTTTTTTAACATATAAATATTATTATATATTTTCAATAATTATTTAATTAGTATAATTTATTTGTAAAAGGTCTTTCTAACTTATTGAAATTATTAAAAAAATTAAATTAATATATATTTAAAAAGTCAAATTAATATATTTATGTTCTTATAATAATTTTTTATACACTATAATATGATTAAAATAAAATATATATTTTAATCATCATAGATATTAGTATACCCATATATGTATGATTTAAAATAAATTATATAATCTTTTATAATAATATATGGTATTATATGATGCGATTTAGATTTTAGAATAAAAAATATAAAACAAGTCATTAAGATGAATATATATATTATATTATATTAATACTTTATCACGTGATATAGAAATATAAATTATATAATCTCTTATAATTATAATTGCTATTTAGAATAAATATATTATTTTTAATTTCAAATATTTAATGTCTTATAATGTGATGTAGAAAAAGTATTTAAAATAGGTTATTGAGATGTGTATTTACAATAATAATTTATAAGTTACATTTTGATAATATCGTATCATGTAATATAAAATAAATTATATAATTTTTTATCATTATACATATTATTTAGAATATGTATTAATTTTAATTTTAAATATATAATATCTTATTTTAACTTTTATAATTTAAAATTGTTGCATATCATAATTCATGTTATTAAAATTATTAGATAGCTTCATATTATTATAAATGTTATTTATTGTCATTATAATATAATATTGTATATTCATGTGATTTGGATTTACTTTACTTGATCAATGGTCATATTGTTGGTTATTGGATGTTATTTGTTGTTAACAATTAAGTGTATATTATCATTTTAAATTCTTTTTTAATAAAAATTATTTTTTAATCTTATTATAAAAAGTTACAAAGAATAATATATATTTAATATGTTAAGATTTATATATGTAATGTATACATTACTAATATAAAAAAATACTTGCATATTTAAAAAATATAAAAAAATTGATGCCCATTTAATATGTATTTGACATATATATATCTATATAAGTTATAAAGTATACATTACTAATATATATATATATATATAATATATAATTAATATATATATTTTAATATATGCATTTAATATAAATGTATATATAACAATATTAGTTTTTAATATCAAATCTAATATGGTGAATTATTAAAGATTAAAAATATAAAATAATGATGTATCGTACTAATATTATTATTTATATTATTAATATTAAAATAATTTTATAATAATTATTAAATATATATCATAATAAATATTTAAAATAATCTTTATACAGTATATTAAATAATTAATTACCACAATTAAAACATTAAAAATTAAAATAAATTTTGTATTTATATTAAATTAAAATAAATATAAAAATATATTAAATGTGTTTTCGTATCGTGTTATGAGTAAAACGTGTATCCGAATGATATGTTTTATTTAAAAATGTTTTTGTATTATATCATGTGTTAAACATGTATCCATATGATATATTTTTTTAAACGTATTTTTTATATCTTATACGTGTTTAAATGTATTAATACATATAAGATACGAATTGTATTATCAAAATTCGTATTAACATAAATAAATATAAAATATATATTTTTAAAATATATATATATAATTTTTTTATATTAATTTTATATTATATCATTGTATCATATATGAAATTGACGGATCTAAGTGTACGTATCACGGACCTAAGGATGGTAAGTAGGTTGATTCGAGATATCATAAAGATAAATGCTCGAGTCTTAAAACCACACGAATTCAAAACTTAAGTCTCAACCCGTGAGGCTTCCTGGAAATGGCAAAATTTAACATTGCTTTGCTCGCGAAACAAGGGTGGCGCCTGTTGCACACCAACAACACATTGGCCTATTCGGTGTTGAAAGCAAATATTTCCCTCACAAGTCCATCTTGGATTGTAAACTGGGCAAAAAGTCCATCGTTGACTTGGAAAAGTGTATGGGCCTCTCTGGCAATTATCAGACAAGGCACAAGATGGAGAATAGGGGATGGACATTTAGTGAAGATCTGGAAAGACAAATGGCCGGTAAGCTCTCCAACTTTTATGCCTCAGTCAACTAGGAAAGGGAAGTCTGAAGATGGACTGGTCAAAGATTTGATTGATGAAAGAACCAAAAAATGGAAGATGAACGTGCTCCATGAGTTATTTTCGGCTGAGGAAACTTCGGCTGTAAGCATGATCCCAATTAGTAAGAGGGGAGCAAAAGACAAATTTGTTTGGCATTTTGACAAAGGAGGTGCCTGTACGGGGAAAAGCAACTACAAACTTCTCTGCCAAGGGATCTAAGAAAGGCTTGTACCGAATGATGTTGAAACCAGATATGTTGGAAGAATATTTGGGAAGCAGAAATTTTGAGCAAAATAGAAGTTTTTTTTATGAAATTATGCAACGGATGCCTACCAGTTCTCCAGAAACTGAAAAGCAGAAAGATCCAAGTCCTGTTTCAGATGCGGGCAAGGGACAGGACTGTTCACCATGCTTTAAAGGAGTGTGAAGCAGCGATTGGAGTGCAGACGCCTCAACCAATGACACAGATGGAGCATGGACGCAGCAATGGATAGGGAACGCAAGCAAGGAGCTGTTGCAGCAACTATCGATTGCATGTTGGGCCATATGGAATGACCGAAACAGGGAGTTGCATGGTGAAGGGAGGAGCCAACCGTTCAAGTAGCGAATTTTATAAGGAAATATAGGCAGGAGTTTAATGAAGCACAAGCAACAGTGGAGTTAGTCCAGATCATGCCTCGAAGACCGTGGACCCCTCCCAGTTATGATTTTTACAAAGTGGGCTTAGATGGAGGCTTAAGCAAAAAGGAGCAAAAGGGTGGGGCCCGAGATGCAGATGGCAAAGTGGTGGGGGCCTGTGCTACAAATCTCGATCACGTTGATCATCCCCTTGTAGTTGAAGCTTATGCAGCAATGAAAGCGGTGGAGTTTGCGGTTGAGCCGGGATTGCAGAAAATTGTTTTGAAGGGGACTCCCTGAGCATCATTAAAAAAACTTAAAGCGAATGAAGCAGATCTTTCAGCAATGGCCAAGTTATTGAAGTGTAAGAACAGCGGCCGGCCAGCTCTTTATTGTGGGTTCATGCACATCAGCAGTCAGAATAATGCAATAACTCATAGCCTTGCAAAGTTTGGGAAGGAGATCATAGGAGAAAGAGCTTGGTTGGGTGAGGCACCTGTTTTTTTATTTAACAATGATTCTGAGGCTATGGATCAACTTTAACTTTGAAATGCAATGAATGAATTTTCCTTTAAAAAAAAAGAATAAGTAAAATCAATTTTGAAAAATAAAGATTGGGCTAATGCATATCACAACAGTAGATTTCCTGTAAACAAATTCCAAAACTATAAACATCGTATTTTCCGTCTTATGGTTTAGAATTAATGACATGCATTATGATTTTGAGATTATATTTTTTGATCATATTACCTAACCAACCATGCAAGTAATCGTCGCTTGTCAGCTCTTTAACAAGTTGAAATTTCCACATTAGATATTCCAAAGTCATTACTTTCAGCGTGAAATTTCTATAAAGAAACATGGGTCGGAGCTTCAATTGCATGACTGCTTAAATATTCTCGAAGTCCAGAATCCAGACACAAAGGTGCTGCTAAGATTTTGGTGTCAAGGCTTTATCACTCTACAAGTCTCATCCTAATCTGGTCCAACTTGGGTTTCTCCTAAATGGGCCCCTGAATCCACCAATCCAGCTGCTGCTCCGAGAGGAAAAAAGCGATTTCTACTTTCAACCGGCAAAAGTTATGAGCTTTAAGGCAAAATAATCAAAACGCTTGGCCGCCTAATTAAACAAATTAAAATGGATTGCAAAATTGATTTACTAAGTTGTTCCCATAAATTCCCGAAACCGAAAACCAACTATGATGATGATTTCCATCAAATGTTTTTTATACAAAGGAAGGAAGTTTACCTGAGGAAAAGATGTTACGATCTTAAATTTGAATCTTATGATTATTTTAATCAAAATTTAACATCATCCCCGACAAAAAGGATATAATTTCAAAGTTTGTGCAAATTTCTTTTATCCCTAAGCATATATAATCCACAAGATAAAAGCTGCCATCAAGATCTGTTAAAGCTGCATAATTTCTGACCCATGTTCAAGAGAAAATACCTATTACAATTAAGCCAATTTCTTAGTATTTTTATGTGGTAGGAGATATGGGAAAATTTATACCGTGAAGCGATATGGATTCTACTTCTATTGTTGCATAGATAACATATATGTACATTTTCAAAATGAGTGTATATATACGAATGTAGTGAGTGATTACTTCCCGCGTTTCTTCTTCTCAGGAGTATCATGAACCTGTGCTTTCATTCCATATGTTTTTACCTGATAGTTTTCAAAGGCCTCAGAAACTGCTCCCACCTGCAACATACATCATGCATGGTATTCCTTAAATTCATTCTTTGGAAATTAGAAGTAACTCGTAAAAGAGGTGTGTTTATTCCCACAAACCAGTTCAGGCTTCTTGGAGTACACTCTGACAATCGTATCCTGACAAAATGCGGGCAGCAAGTGACTGATGCGCTCTTCTGGAATTGGGAATTTGTAATCACTCTCATAATCCTGATCATAGAGATCAAAATCACCAAAATCTTCAATTTCAATGTGATGGATACTTTGAATCCATCACAAAACACAAGCTTTGCTAAGGATGTTTTTTTCTTGGGTTTTTCCAACGAACATCATAAATATTGTATTTTAAATATCTTAAATAATTTGCTAAATAGAAATAAACCTTAAACCTAGGTAGTATATAATTTTCTAATGTTGTACACTACTCAGCATCTGCCATTGTGCAACAGTAGAAAAGTTCGAAATATTTCATAGGAAGTGATGTTAGTACCTGGAAAAAGTTGATGCTGGATATGGCAATACATGCAAGCAGAGGAAAAGATCACAGGAAATAAAATTATCAGGCAGCAAATATGTTAAATTGTTTAAGAAAAGATACAGCGCTTTTATTAAGAACATTCGGTTCTTTCTCAAGTACCTTTCCATAGGGTTACTCCTCCCACGAGTCAGATCAATTTTGACAATGCTTACAGCAATATCTTCCTCTTTCAATGTGGTACCTCCATTTCTCTAATAGGAAATTTACTCGTCATGCCATTTGCTTATTACTCTTTGAGTAAAGAATCTAGCATAAATTTCTTTTTATTTGGCACCTGAGAACAAACAATATTTTGTGGAGTGATGTCTTTGAAGTGCTCTAGCTTGTCCTTTGGAACAGAAAACTCATTGCAAAACTGCAAAATATAGTCAATTGTTGAAATTGCACAATCTAAAAACTCTGTACTCAATGAAAGGAGAGCTATTTGCTTCCATTTATTGTCAAACGGTACCTGGTATAGATCTCTTCTCCGAATGCTAAGGATCAAATCTCTAGCTTCCTTGAGCTCTTGTTTATCAGAAGTTTCAATTTGTCTTAATATTGAGTCGTCTAGCTGCGGTTGTTAAAGGGCAATTGTCAGTCTTAATGAGTAATGACATAAAAATTGGAATGTTGAAGATAACTGTAAATAATGCTTTAAGCTCAACAGACCTTCCAAAATTTAGCTGGCTCATGAATAGTTTCTGATATACTCAGTTCTCCATTTGCTAATGTTAAAGCATCTACAACCATGAGTTCAATTGCCTGGAGGAATAAAAAGAATAAAAATGGGCAAACTATCAAGATCCATTGCATTTATTGTTCAAAATTCAGATTAAAAAGCATGGGCCTTGACGCTTTGACTGCATTAAAGAGCTTCATATATGCCAGAACTAACATTTTGAAGTTGTGGATAAAACAGAGTGGTTGCAGTTTGGTACCTTTACTTTAGCATGTGTATAAACCGTTCTATGTAAATCAGCTCGAGTAACAAATAAATTGTGGATAGTAAGATCTGTCAAAAAAATAGCATATATTAGTTGAAGAATGCAATTATTAGGAGAACATAATAATTTGAACATATACTAACATTCCTTTGCCCTGTAACATATCTCATCACCCATCACTCGCATTGTTTCCATTAACCTGCAAGTTAAAATGAAGAACATGAAGAATATATATTATGACTATAATACATGTTTAATAAACCAGAAAGCGCTGTTCTAACCCCTGCACTTTTGTAGACTCAGAAATGTTAAATTAGACTGAAATGAAGAGCATATCATAGTATGTATTAACCAGTAAGTGATGATCGTTATATATCCATCCATACCTCTGAAACTGAAGATTGCAGCCAAGTCCACAAGCCCGAGAGTCACGTACAATATAGTCAAATCTGCAAAGAAATGTATTTATTAACTCTATTTTCAAAACCACAAGTAGTAGTACAAATTAAAAAAAAAAATCTCAATATGAAAAGTCAATATACGTACTTATCGACATCTGTTCCATTTCGACCATTTGCAACAATGTCATACAAAAAACGCTTTTCGCTCGAAGTCTACAGTGAAGGAATTTAAAAATTGTGATGGTGAAGTAATTGATGATGGAATTGAAAACATACATTCTATCAAAAAAAAAAAAAAATGAAAACAGACAAGAATGTGAAACAACAAACAAGATTTAGTAGGGTTGTTCTAATGTATTTAAAGTAATGACTTGCTTACCTTTTGTGAAGCATTTGCAGAGCTAGCGAGTACCATTTCCTGTTGAAATGGCAAAAGTGTATGAAGCCCGGCATTCTATAATGCTAATTTTCATTTACATAGCGCAATCAGAAGTTCAAGGAATATAATTCAACCTTCACATTCTTAAGGATTTCGGCATCTATTTCAATGTGGTGTGCATCGACAATGTAATCGATCATCTTCACAGACATTTCCTCATGAGACCTAAAATATTCAAACAAGTAATCAGAAAGAAATAGATCAAAGCATTAGAAGATCAAAGTATATTTTGCAATAAAATTTGATCTTGTATTAAATGCGTAACACGTAATGTCAATTATGGAATATTGTCATTTATAAAAAACAAACAGAAGCTAACATAAATTGAAAATACTAGGACACGGCCTATGATCCAAGATCACATTTTATTCTTAGGATAATGATCTATTCATTTTGGGAAAGTAAAAGATGTGAAGATGTGCAACCATTGTATTTCAGGAAAAACTAACAATCTATTTCTAGAAGGGAATGTAAGAATCACCATTTAGATCCTTTAAGAACTCGAGGAAGAAACTCGCGCTCAAACAGATGGCTGAATGGCCCATGTCCAACATCATGCAGTAGTCCTGAGCAAGTAACCAGAAAAAAGGGTGAGATACCGAGACAAAAAGAGGAGAGGACTCAAGGGAATGAAAAATCTGGCACAAGGAGGATTACCAGCAAGTTTTACTGTCTTGATATCATTATGCTCAATGTTGATCTCCGAGCCCTACAAGGATGCCATGCCAAATAAAGAGAATTTCTCAATATAAATGGGGGTCAGAATGAAAACCACCAGACTGTGAAGACATGTTCCTACTTGGTGAGCTTTAATTGTATGAACAGCTTCACTAGCCAGTCTATAAACTCCCAGCGAATGCTCAAATCGAGAATGCACAGCTCCTGGGTACACCATGTGACAAAGACCTGATTAGCAAGAATATTAGATCAGCAAGCAGCTTATTAAGCTCCCAATTAAAAATTGCAAAAAAGAAACCACCATTTTTGAGGAAGATAGAGTTGACACGAGGAAGATAACATTGGAGATCAATTCTTCTAGCAAAGTTGAAGATAAATAAGACACTACGGATGCAAGTAAAATCACTTAATAATATGATTTAAGAAAGTTCAACTTACCAAGTTGCTTTAGATCGCGAAGTCTGCAGTATAAATTAGTAAAATCATCAAAATATATAATTTCCAATTATATATGCAAAAGGAATGAAATACATGTGCATATATTCAACAAATCAATCAAGCTTGCCTCTGAAACTGTTCCGTATCAACAAAATGTAAGAAGAACTGCATCCGCAGCAAAGCAAAAAATCAATATTATATAGTATCTCAAGAAAAACTTTGATTATCAACAAAATCTTGAGAATTGAGCTGAGTCCATATTATAAGGTACAAACCTTTAAATCTATTCAAGATTTTCGTCATTGTTTTACATTTTTTTTTGTTTTTCTCTAAATTATAGTAGTATTCCTTATTTTCTTCTTCATCTTCTATCTTATTGCGTATAAATAATTTCCAAATCGTCTTTACGACTAGTTTCCTTGATTTCAAAGCTTTTCTTTTTCTATCGTTTATTGAAAATCCGTTTTCTAGATGAAGATAAGCATTATTATGATAAAAACTGAATCAATATCCGGTTTGATTATTTATCGTACCTAATCGCACACAAAAAAAAAAAAAAACACGAGTGCAAGTTCGGAATGAAAGTAAGCTAACAATACCGGATCAAGATAGATGTTTCCATGGACGTTGTCGTGAATATGCTTCGCGAATCGTCGATCCTGGCCGGAGAATGAGCAGAAGCTGGTCACCCCCTCGTTCCAAGTTGTTCCCATTCTTCTCACAGCCGAAGCCTCTTTTCAAAAGGCAAATTTGAAACCAAGCAAAAACAGAGTTTCAAAAACTGTAAGCTAGAAAAATCAAAGCGCCGATTCAAATCGCTTTATTGAACCAGAAGAGAGAGATGGTGACTAACTTGTTACTTGGAAAATGAGAAGGCAGGCAGGCAGCCAGGAGGGGGTGAAGGAAAGCGGTTATAAGGGGAGTGAAGGTGAAGTGATGCCGCCAAAAAAGCGATTTGTTCGTTAACGCGTTGGGACTGGAGGAGAAAATTTTATATAATTGAGCCGATAAATATATATTTTTTCATCTTTATGGTTTGGGTTGTTATTTAATTAATTAATTAAATTGTCCATAACCGGTTTTATTATTAGCTAATTAAATTTAATTAATTAATTAAATTATTATATAAATTTAACCTCATAAAAAAAGCGCATCGAATTCAAAGCAATCTACTTTGAATAACATTTTTTTTTTTTCAATCACTTTGCATCATAGTCAAAGTAATAAAGCAATCTACTTTGAATAACATTCTTTTTTTTTTTTTTTTTATCACTTTGCGTCATATTCAAAGTAATGCTGTCTTTTTAAATGAAAGTGATTTTTTATTAAAAAAATGGTAATATAAAAATAAAAATTATAAATATTAAAATTTAAATCTCCAGTTATATTAACTAACTGAATTAATCTTTAAATTCAAAGTAATGTGTTTTAAGAAGCAATTAAATAGCAGTGAGTAATCTGAAAGTCGTTCAAATAATTGGTACTTAATGAATACCAAGATCGATTTTACACTGTTTGCTTAACGAAACATTTACAAAACAAAATCTCAATTGAATGCTAGAAGGAACACGCCAAAAATAGGAACATAAATAAACGGTCTATTATATGAAAAGCCTACAATTACTTGCTTTACTTAGGGTATATAATTGAGCCAAGTTGAGACGATACAGTGAGAACTTCGAATTTGAGTTCGATTCTCAACTCACGATTTGATATTCAATTTGAATTTGATCAAGTTTTATCTTTCTAACTCGAACTCGATACGTGATCGAAATCGAGTTACTTGAGCTTGTTCGATTAGATTCGATTAATATGTAAAAATAAATTTGATTCTTATACTCGATAAAAGCTCGATTATTAAGCACGAAAGCTCGAGCTTGAGTTTGAGATCTTTAACAACTATTTTCTTATCAAACATAATAAATATTATATTTTCAAGATAATAACAACAATAATAGCAATAACAACAATAACAATAATAATAATAACAACTTACACAACAACCAAATCCATACAAATAAAAGTCTTGTCAAATGATTCAAATTCAACACACAAATAAAAGACATAATAAAACTTGAAAATTAAAGTCCTAATTGAAAGAAATTAAATATCCAAGCGAATAATTCCATAAACAAGTTACAACAAACCAACAACAATATATATGCTGTCTTCACAATATTATGTCTTCAAATGAACATTTGGCCCATATTGTTTTCCAACAAACCTACACAAAAGAATAATTACAAAACAATCAAATTATAATTAACAATAAGAATAATAGTAGAAGCACCCATGTAAAAAGAGATTGTAATATTATTACAATGATCAATAACTTTAAATTTTTAACATTAGTATAAACATGTACTGTATCTTGTCAATTGTCTTATAATCAAAGTAGAAAAATATATACAGTGTCTTGTCAATTACCTAACATAAGTTTCTGTCATTAGTTAACCTATGGTTTGTAAACTATAATGCAAAAAGCTCAATCTAGACTAGCTACTGTCATAATGTATAGATAAATGACTTATCACTAAATATTGACTTAGTGAGTTACCACAAATCTTTTTTGTTTAGGTGTGATTAGCCATCTAACTGAATTTATCCCGTTTTAAAGAAAAATCTTAAGCTTAACTCAGGTATCTTTAAAAAGACAGATTCAATTTCTACGAAACCAAAACTATGTTCGAGATTAGGTTACATATGAGAAAGATTATAGCATTTCTACAATGCCTATCAAAAGATGGCACTGGCTTGATTTAGTGTTATCCATTAAGCCTTAAATAAATCTTACTAGATAATTAATTATTAAAAAATTATTCTTAATTGACTCTAATACTTTTGGTAGAAAATTTAAAAAATTCTCTCACCTTAAGAGTATATAAAAAAACTATTGTTTCTCTTGTTGGAGTTTCATCGTCTGATTATTTAACATAAAAAATTTTCAAGATAAAAAATTAATGCTTCAACTTTTTCCTAAGATTTCTTTTCTTATTTTTATTTAAAAAAATTAATGCCTTTATTTAAGGAAAAATTGATACTTTTAACTTTTCCTTAATTAAAAATGTTTCTTTTGAAATATATTTTTGAAAAATTTTATTCTAAAAAGAAAATTGATACTTTCAATTTCTCCTTAAAATTTTTTTTTATTTAAGAAAAATTGATATTTTCAACTTATTCTTAAAACCTCCTTTTTTATTTAAGAAAAATTAATACTTTCAACTTTTCCTTAAAAACGTTTTTAAAATATATTTTTGAAAAAATTTTTGTTTTCTAAGGAAAATTAATACTTTTAACTTTTTCTTAAAATCTTTTCTATTTTTTTATTTAAGAAAAATTGGTACTTTCAACTTTTATTTAAAAATGTTTCTTTTGATATACATTTTTTGAAACATTTTTATTTTTTAAGAAAAATTGATATTTTCAACTTTTGCTTAAAAAAACCTTTTTTAATTTTTTATTTCTAAGAAAAATTGAAAATTTTAATTTCTAAGAAAAATTGAAATTTTTAATTTTTCTCAAAAAATAATTTTTAAAATTTTTATTTTTAAGAAAAATTGATATTTCATAATTTTCTTAAATCCCTTTTTTGAAATATTCATTTTCAAAGAAAATCGATACTTTTAACTTTTTCTCAAAATTTTTTTAAAAATTTTTTACATTTTAGGAAAATTGATATTTCAATCATTCCTAACAAAATACTTTTTTGAAATTTTATTTCCTTCAGAAAGTATTATTTTTGAAATATTTTTATTATTTTTAATTTTAAAAAATAATACTTTCCTTTTCCTCACATTTTAATTCTCTTAAAAAAATTCATAGGAAAAAAAACTTATACATAACTGAATAAATGCTATTGATTTATGAAAAAAAAACATAAATAAATAAATAGGTAAAAGAAGAAAAAATACCTTAATTTACTTTGGCTTGAATAAAACGTGGCTCTAGAGACAGATTTAGACTGAAACGGCTCAATGCAAGGCTCCACTCCAAGACTTAGTAATTGCTCAATGAAGCAGGCAAGTTGGTCGAGGCACTGTAGGTCAGATTAGACCTTAGGCGACGCATGGATTCTGACTACTTTTAAAGTCCTAAATGACACTGTTTTATATCAACATAAAAGGTAAAATTTTTTTTTCTCTAGATGCTTCCCCACTCTCCCTTTCTCTTTCTTTTTTTTTCTCTATTTTTCTTTCTAAAAAGTAAAGAACGCCGATTGAACTTTTGTTGATTTTTGGGATTCAAAATTTGAAACTAGGTTTATTGTTCGAAAGTATAGGTTGTACCAAAATTTGAAACAGTTGCCATTTCATCAACTACGATTTTGAAACATCTTCCTATAAAAGTAAATTTCCTGACAAGCATACACGAAATGCTATGAAATGTTAATTTTCTTAAAATGCATACATGAATTGTTATGAAATGCCAGGCTTTTTTGATTATGGTAACAAGGTTCTCAAGCCCTTTTCTGTTTCCATTTACTCGCCATTTATGGATCATTTAACTTCTGAGCATAATTGACTAATGAATCAAATTATCTTTGCCTTTTAGTTTTAGCCAAATTGATATCAACATTCCACTAAGTTCCCATTGCTTCATTTTTCTTGCCCATGCCACTTTTACCTTTCCATAGTAATGAAGAAAATTTTCATATCATTATGTATTCATTCATTATCATTTTAATATAATGACAGATGTAAAGCAATTGCATATTTCTTTTGACTTAAGTGAGGGAATAAACGAAAAAATGAGAATAATAAAATAGGTAAGTGTTGACATTAAGAAAGAAATGAATTTTATTAAATGAATAAATAATCATGAGAATAGGTTACAAAGATGGGCTTAAATGGGCTATCAGATAATCATGATCAAAGCAACCCAGAGCTTTTCTAAAAAAACCATTCAACTGATGTCCTTGATTCTTTCGAGTTTTTCAAGTCACACTTACCCCTTGCATTACGAGAATGATGACTTGATTCTTTAAGCTACCTTTTTTAGGTTTTCAACTTAGATATCATTCCTCAACTCAAACTGCTTTTTGTGAGTTTTCAATTTGAGCCCTTTTTTTTATTAAGAGAAATACTTTTTCATAGCAATCTGAATTTATTGGATTGGGTAAATCTTTTCCATCCATTTTTGTCAAGATTAAAGCTCCTCCCAAGAAAACTCTCTTAACAACATATGGACTTTCCTAATTTGGAGTCCATTTTCCTCTATTTTCATGTTGACTTGAAAGAATCCTCTTCAAAACAACTCTTCTTCATGAAAACATCGAGGTTGAACTTTCTTCTTGTGTTCCCGCATCATTCTCCTTTGGTATAACATACCATGACATAGTGTGGTCAGTTTTTTTTCCTCAATGAAATTTAGTTGCTCATAATGTTTTTAGATCCATTTGGCTTCTTCCAAACCAACTTCCCTTAGAACTTTTAAAGATAAAATTTTTACTTTTACTAGTAATATGACTTTCATCCCATAGACCAAAGAAAATAAGGTTACTTCAATAGAGGTACGTACTAATATTCGATAAGCATGCAAAGTAAAATGTAACTTTTCATGCTAGTCTTTATAGGTCTCGATCATCTTCTCAAGAATTTTTTTAACATTCTTATTTGTTACTTTTATTGCCTCATTCATTTTCAGATGGTAAGGTGTCAAATTATGATGCTTGATCTTAAATTAGGCACATATATCTTTCATCACCTTACTATTAAGATTCTTGACATTATCTGAGATAATCTTTTTCGGGAGCCTATATTTACATATCACTTTTTTTTTGATGAACTTATACACCATTGATTGGGTCACACTAGCATACGATGCAACTTTAACCCATTTGGTAAAATAGTCAATCATTACAAAAATGAAACTATGTCTATTTGAAGCTTTTGGTG